CTGCAATTGTTTGATTTCTCTAGGTTTTGAAAACTTTAAAAAAAAATTTTATGAAAAGTCAAGTTAAAGAATGGGCACTTAATGATATAGGGAAGTCATGAGATTTGTTCATATGGAACAGCCACATTTTCCTTTGTTGTTGTGGAAGGTGCAGGTTACAAAGAGCACTGTATCAACTCTGGTTGGGTCTCTCAGTGTAAGAGATTTTGCATTGGGAGTGTGGAGAAGACAGTGTCATAAATTAAAATACTGGCTTTTAAGGCACATGCTGTGGAAAGTCAACCTGCATGGCTCATGTTTCTGCTGACATAATACTGCAGAATTTCAACTGTACAGATAAAGATAACAATCCAGGCAAGTCACATTTTATAATTAAAAACCTACAATGACAAAGAAAACTGCTCATCTAGTAACTGTTTTGAAGACTGCAGGATTCTTTATTTCCAAGAAAATATAATAGCCTTGTATGGTTGGCTATAAAAAGAAAATATTTCCTCTGATTAAAACATAGCTTGGAATCCTCTAAAATAAGAAAAACCGTTTTCAATGATAAAAACATACATGAATAAAACGCAGTTTTTCCTCATTATGCCTGTAAGTACTAACCGCAGAAGGACTGATAAGGGTTCTGAACTTGAGGCCCTCTGAGCAAACACTCACCTGCACAGTCCTCTGTGTGCCATCAACGTTGACAGATAATAAGGGCGAAGCCAGGTTCCACGTACTGCTCACATTTAGTTTCGACCCATCAACTTCCACCTGTTGTGACACCAAATAAGACTGTTACCAAGAAGAAAGACAGAAAACTGATCTCAAGTTCAATGCTGCATGCAAAGCAGCAGCCATTTTAACAGATGGCTCCCAAACAACCTGTCATGTTTACTGCTGCAGTCATGAAAGACAGGGTCCAACAACAGAGTCTTCCCAGTCATCTCTGGGGAGAGGTGAAGGACCTGTGAACAGCTGCCTCTGGGTACTGAGGCTTCAAGTGATTTCCAGTAAGTAACAAACAGCCTTCCAACTCGAAACCTATCTGGACATGCTACATTTACTGCAATTAGACAAGTAATGCATAAAAATTCCAGTGACACTTTGCAACCCACGCAACAGGGCTTGCATATAATGTCCTCTCCAGGGACCAAACAAGAACTTTTTTGGTGGTAATTTTAATGAAGGACCAAAGCATTGTTCTCTTAATTAAACACAGGCTCTAATTAGGCAAAATTCTCTGGTGTTGAATAGCCAAACTCCATTTAAACTTTGAAAAGTTCTGTCTCACATTTGCCAAACATGAATAATCTTATCAAGTCATCATTCATGGAAATATAAAAAAGAAAAACTCATAATCTTTCAAACCAGAGATATAATTAAGGGAAAATTTTAATTTCTAGGAAAATAATATAACATAGCTGAAAGGAAAAATAAATACAAGTTACTTTAAAACACTCACCAAAGATTGTTCCCTAACTCTTTAGTATGAGAGACAAGAATGCATTAAAATAATAACGTTATTATTCTACAGCAGATTGTTACCAAGGGGTTAGTTACATGTATACAAGTTTCAAAGTTGGCTGAAAGCACGGTCAAGATATATGGCTGTTAACAATTCCCCTACTACCAATTCTATTCAAACTGCACACTCTTTATAATTGGATATCAAGTCCTGATGCTTTCTTTTCTGTTGGACCCTTGGGGACAGACAAGGAGATGGCAGTGGAGAAAGAGTGGTAAAGCACTTTGACAAGTACTAGGTACCCTAAAAGGGAACAGGCTTGAAGACACAGCACAGGGAGGTACAGGATCATGACAGCAGCACAACACTGATGAGGAAGCTGGAGAGATCACCCAAGTGCACCATCGTAGGAACCTACAAGTTTATACGTGCTTTTGTAGATGGTAAGTAAGGTCTGTGTCAGGATGAAGACCACATGGCACAAGTAACCCCATGGCAGGGACCATGGAGGGACCCCTTAGCAGGCACACAGTGTGACTATGGAGAGAGCCCAAGGCAGGACACAGCATGACCATGGAGGGACCACATGGCAGGCACACAACAAGAACCATGGAGGGACAGGCACACAACTGGACTGTGGAGGGACCCACAGCAGGTACACAGCAGGACTATATGGAGGGACTCCACAGCAAGGACACAGCAAGGCCAGAGAGGGACCCCATGGCAGGCACACAGCTTGACTGTGGAGGGACCCCAAGGCAGGGACCATGGGTAGCAGAAGTCTTTTCAATGCAGTCAAAGTCTCAAATACTTCAAATAAGCTCACGACTCATTACTCAACAGATAATGGTCCAGGGATAATGCCAAAGACTCAGAAGGCTTTCTGCCCCACCATCATCTTGATGCAGCTCTGCTCACTGTTCTGAAGCTCTTCTCACATGCGCCAAGCACGTTGGTGGGGTCTGGGAACAGGGGAAGATACTTGAAACACTAGTCTACCTAAAAGCGGGTTATGTGCACTGAAAGAAGTTAGTATCTTGTTTACATTGAGGCTTTCTTCTCTCATCTCCTACTAAAGGCAGAGGGCTTATGAGAAAGACCACATGCGACCGAAAGTCAAAGGAACTACATTCCCTTGTACTCTGTATCTGAAACAAGGAAGCTATCATTACTCCCTGATATTAAATGAGGGAATGTGCTAAAAACAAAACAAAACAAATGAACAAACAAACAAAAATACCACATGCCTTTCTAGGCCTCTATCAGGAATCAAATTCCTCTTAGACATCTAATTCTGAGCAACAGATGTAATGATTCTACCAATGCTATTATAGATGTGTAAAACTCAGTTGTGTGGATAAGCCATTAGGGAGGCAAGACCCACATTATCATGGAAAGCAAGAGGCAGCTGAACCAAACCTCCATTGGTTATACCATACCTGCTGCTCATCCCACTGCAGGGTCCTGAAGAAGCAGATACAGAGTGGAGGGACGCTTCCTTATTTCTACACTGAGAACCTGACTGAAAATGCCACCACTCTACCTCTTCAATGACAACAACTAATAAGAAATGACCCTGCCACTAAAGAAACCAGGACAGATCTAGTGAGGAGAAGGGTGACCAGCCCGGGCAGAGGACAGCCTGTGTTTCCAGTCAGACTCTTAGTACGACGCAAAAAACAATCAGAGACAACCAATAATGCATCTTGGCATGCAATTTTGGAAAATTTATAAAGAGAAAAAGGTAAACAAATTAAAAGCATATAACACAACAACAACTACTCAAAGAAACACAGGAAGAGTTCAGATAAATAGTTCTCCCAAGTCTCAAAGGCGACCATAGGAAACGTGACCCTCTTTAAAAAAAAAAAAAATAGCCCAAAGAAGAAAAACAAGGGTTCAAAGAAGAGATTATACAACAGGAGGAAATGAAAAGCAAGCTGGTAGAACTCGGGAAAAAAATGAAGAGAAAAATAACATTATAGAGATAAAAGCCACATGAAGAAGCAAAAATAGAATGTGACGAAAAAGACATACAGGACACAGAGGCACTCCATGAACCAAGTAAAACCAGTAAATGTTGAAGCAATAATGAAGAAAATAGACACGGAGAAGGAAAAGAAAGGAGACAGGACCGTCTTCTTCAAAAAGGCATATAAAGCAAAAAGAAGAATGTGAAGTCAAAGATATGAGGGTAACTCTTCTGTTTTTTGCCCTTTTTTGAGACAGAATCTCCTTAAGTGTTATGTCTGGCATTATACAGAGATTTTTATAGTTGTGGTTGTTTTAATTCTCAGTGTTTTTCACTTCTCAGCAAGAAGGTGCATCT